CATTGCTGGCAGGGGCAGGAGCCAGGGCAGGGATAGGGGCTGGAGCAGCCCTGGTGCTGGGAAGTAGGGTGGGCAAGGAGAAAGCTGCGGCATGCTGCCCCTGCGCTGGTTATGCGGCTCCTGGGAAGGGAAGAGGCTGGCCAGGGATCAGCTTCCCAGATGGCTGCCAGGTGCTGGCAGCTGAGCCTACCTTCAACATGGCTGCCAAGTGCTGGCAGCCATGTGGCTGGAGCTCCCCTGGTGGCCACAAGGGCACAAGAAAGGGCTGCATGGACTTGGGACTAACTTTAGTGCCAAGTCCTTTTACGTTGGGGCACATCTACACGTCACTCTACAATAACGTTGTTACTGCACTGTGCTTTAGTACTTCCTTTTGGAGCACAGTAACTGCCCATTGTGTGCCATGCGTGCGGCGCACGGTTATATTTTGCCGCTACTTTGCCGTAGTGGCACACTAAAATTCGGGAGTGCATCACTATGGCGAAGTAGCTGCTGGTCACGTGTAGGTGAAAGTGATGGCTACAGCAACGTAGAATGATGCATAGATATGCCTGAAGACATCTGCCAAAAATCACTTAATATGCATTAGCTTAATACGCATTAAATTTAGTCACACTTAAATGCACATGTAGATGCTCCCAATATACAATATATTGCTGACTCTCACTTGTTATGCTTTCCAAAATCTGCAGCAAGCAATGTGTGCTGCTATTTTGTCAGCAGGATGGCATGAGAAGGCCCCAAGGATCTGGGGGCACAAATAACATACTGGATACCTGGTATTAAAGTAGCAACTGAACAAAAAGTTAACCACTTGTTACATCAGAAAAAGACCCCGTGTTCAGCTATAAGCGTCCCACTTTTACTGCTATTACCTTCTCTGCAGAACAAAAGTGTGTCAGGTTGTGTATGAGATGCAACAATTTTCTGTGATATCTTCAACTGGACCAACTGAATAGTTGGAAGAGTTGTTGGACAAGCTCTTAGGCATCGATTAGTTGTATAGTTATTAGTTATATATAAGGGTTGAGTTAGAAGACGACACTAGTGAAATAGGCACTGAGTTTTTCAGCCCTGGAGTCCAGAGTTTAACCTGATCTGTCACAGGTGTTGAGGGTGAGACCGGGACTGACCTATGGCTATAGTATAGTTATGGTTTCTATGGAATTCCATTGAGATTTGTTATAAGTCGGCCAGCTCACGCACTCTGTATGATCCGGTGGACTTTAGGCTTGGGTCATCACTTAAGAAGGCTCTGGAAGTGGAGAGTCATGTGCATATTTGTGTGTCGTGTGCTACCTGCTGGAGGAACGTGCGCAAAGGCCCTTTAAAAGACCCTGTGAGGGGGGCGCTCTCTCGGTGTGGGTGTGGGTGTGTGTGAGTGTGAGCAGAGAGAGAAGTGACAGGAAGGAGAGAGAGTGAGCGAGAAGGGGACTGAGTATAAGACAGACTGAGAAATAGACTGAAACAGAGAGAGAGAAAGACTGATAGATTGGATGAAGTGAGTGACTGGGTGAAAGGTCGAACATGAGCAGGACCACAGCATGGAGCTGAGATTCCTCTTGTCACCAGGGATCATTCATCGCTGAGGCTGCCTTGAGCCAGGAAGGAGTCGGTTCCCTGACAATTCCCCGTCAGATGCACTTCAGTGCTATAGTAGCGGCTCCCCTGATTCCGGTGCAAGTATTGCCCCTCCTAAGTGGGATTGGATACTGGCTATCACTTCCTAAAAACCCTGTAAGTGACCAGTAACCCACACAGAAGTAGGTAAGCCTCAGGTACTGGGTTGAAGGGGAGACAGAGCTGAACGCTGGCGGAGCCTTCAATAAATAAATCTTTCTCTGAATCTCTCAGGTCTTTGGCGAAGTTTGGATTTATAGAATTTCCACTGTGTGTGTTTATACTTTGTAGTTAACTTTACTGTTGGTCCCAAAGTGTGTTAACTAATAAACCGTTTTATTCATGTACCTTAAGCCGTTCTCTTAGTGATTATTAATTAAAACCGGTAATGCATACGGACAGGGTAAAGACCGACCATACCTTTCTGGGGAGAGATCCAAGAGGAAGCAGCTGTTTGGACCTGCTTTATAATTTGGTTTAAAAGAGTGATTTTCCCCCAAACACAGGTTAAAAAAAATCCATCAGAGGCAAAGAGTAGGGTTAGGATTTCATACACTCATAAACAACAAGGGGAACTGTTGATAATCAAGTCCAGGAGTGTCAAATAGATGCTTTGTGGGCCAGACCCAGCACATGAAGCCCCATAATCCAGCCAGTGCTACCTCATTGACCCACATGCTGCGTTGGACTGACCCTGCATGCAATCCTTAGGCATGTGCCACCTGGGGTGCCCGCTGGGACTGCGCCACCTGTGGGGCCTGCTGAGGTTAGCCAGCCTCCCAGCCCAGCCCAGGCAGGAGCCACATGTGCTGGTTCAGGCATGTGGGTGGAGTCTGTGGACATGATCTGGCCTGTTGACTAGTCAGCACCGCCCATGTAGCCAGATGAGCTTGACATCCCTGATCTAGTCCAGCCATTTACTTAACACAGGCCACAGAAGTTCACCCAGGAATTCCAACCGCTTACTTGGAGCAGTGTTAGCAATGTCTGTTCATGTGCCCCTTACATATCCTTAGGGAGCAGAGGAAGAACCTGTGGAAATTAATGCTGCCTAGACCTCTGGAAAAATATTTGTTTCCTTCTGCTGCACTATTACATAGAAGTAGCAGCTAGACAGAAGGAAAATCTTTTACCTTTTCCCAAGAAGTTCTAAACCAATGAGCCATCAAGCACGCAGTTCATTGAATCAAAAGGAGAAAAGGATGATATTATCATCCCGCTGGCAAAGTTTGGGCCATTTAAATTGTTTCTTGCTATTTTCAACCCTTTCACATTGAAAAGCAGAGCGTATGGCCTCAAATATGGGGATTCATGATGTGTTTTGATACCAACTATTCCCACATACTATATATGCCCCCACACATAGGCGCCAACTTTGGTTTTTGCTGGTGGGTGCTTTTTTGCGGGGGGGGAGGCATGGGGTCAGTCGGTATTTTTAGGGTATTTTTAAACTTCTGTCAGCTCCTATGTTTTGTTTATTACTGGTATCTTAACAATTCAATAATTATTAAAAAGTATTCATAAACTGCAGCATAATTATATTATAAGGGATTAAATTACAATAATTGCACACACCCACAAGCAGCATGGCCCTCCTCACATCCACTACCTCACCATGAATCACAGTGCATCAGTCTAATTCTGCCTTCCTGTGTAGCCACATAATGTGCTTCTTCCACCTACTGGTACTAAGCTTGTAACAGCTTGGTCTAGGGCACTTTTTAACATAACAGAGATCTAACACGGATCATGTAAAATCCAAAACAGCTGTGGCTTGTGGGTGCCAAGTTAATTTTTTGGGGGCAGTGCTTGAGCCCTGGAGCATCCATGCAGTTGGCACCTACGCCCCCAAGCAAGATAGGTACCTTGTTTTTGGAAAGGGAAAATGAAGAATTTTTTTTTCAGAGCTATGGCTACACAGAGCAGGGACAGAGCCTAATCTTTAACTAGCTCACCCTCACTTTCCTGCTCAGCCAAAAGCTGTGCCTGTAGCTACTACTGAAAATTTGTTTCTCTGTGTAGGTCTATGACTTTTGAGTGGATTAGAATTTGACTGAGGTGACACACACTGTTGTTACTAGCTATTGTGAAAACTTTTAAGGTGGAATAGGATCTGGTGTGCAGGGCCACATTATCAAGCTCACAGGGCTTCCCATGGGTCTGGAAATCTGGCAGCAGGGGAGTGGCAGTCAATGCTGCCACTGCTCACTTCCACTGCCAAATTTCTGGACCTTTGGGGAGCCCTGGGGGCTGGAGGACACGGCTCTGTTGGCCAGATTTGGTTTGCCGGCCAGAAGTTGAACACAACTCATTTAGATGATATTATTAAACTCTGGGGGCCAGATATTATTTTACCTCTAAGAGGCATTTACCCAGGCTCTAGGCATCTACATCACTGAACAAGATCCTATTCCAACCTGTGCAACAACCAATGAACCACTTGTACATTGAGATTCCTAGGGTCTTTCCACATTTGAAATGCATCTTGTCTGTCTTAGTTCCATTAAAAAGTCATCTTTAGCTGGAGGAACCCAAAAGATGAAATTCAGAGAAGGTTGTCCACAAGTGTATTATGACTTGAACCCAGTGTTAATAACCATCACTTCATTTCTTAAATGACTAGGACAAATAGTTTAGTCAACAAAGGAAAACAAATATATGCAAGAGAAACAATTATAATTTGTTTATTTAGCAAAATGTACTCAAATGATTTATTTTTCTTTTGATGTATAGATGTACAAAATATATCAGCTCTACAGTCTGCCCATTCCGAATCCCTTCCCAGGTATCCATAACTTTCTTTTTTTATAATCAATTTCACAAACTAAGCAAGTGAGGGTGCCAAACTCATTTATTTCAGAAGCCACGTTATTCTGCAATCCCCAAATTATTCATTCCTGTGTACCTGACGATTGGCAGAGAGCTGCCTGGTTGCATGGTTCTGGCTGTTCTGTTTCCAGTTACATAAATAGGTATAAATACATTAAATACTTGCTTAATACAGTTGTTCCCCCACATACACAATTGGTGGAGTTGCCACATGGTTGGGGTTTTCTTCCAATAGCATCTGAAAGGGAAGATGATCTAAAAGTTAATTTCCTGATTAAGATGTGCTCAAAACTGTGAAAAGGTTTGAGAAACTCCGTCCTATAAAATCAAGAACAGATGACAGCAGTGTTCACCCTTTTCCAAACTTCACCTGATTTGGGAAATGGGAAGAGGTTCAGAATGATACTCCCTGGGTGCATCTACATGTGCAATTAATTCATAGTACACGCTGGAGTTAGCTGCTCCTGGGCACAGCATTTACATGCATACCCAGGACCACAGCACTCTGGGCTGGAGCAAAGCAGCTCTGGGCTGGCAGGGGACCTGAGGGATCAGCCCCAGGCTCTAGGTGGCTAGGGCATGAGAGTGCTACAGTGTGGGGCTAGGCGGCAGGCAGCTCCATCTCTGTAGCATCCTTGTGCCCCAGCCAGCCCATCACAGTCTACACATGCATTTGAGTACACATAATTACTCTGCCAAGGATAGTACCATTACAGTACTGTTCTATGTTGGAGTTCATTTACTGCACCCTAATATCAGTGCATGTGTAGATGGTGATGTTTTACTATAGAGCTAATTAGTCAACTCCACAGTAAAGATGTAGACATAAAATTAGTGCCTTGGCTGCCTCTTTCTGGCATTTGTTGATCACTGAAACTGTCTTTCTCTCAGTCACCAGTGAAACAAACTGCTTTTTCCTACAGTGACTGTTTCTTAAGGCACAGAGGAAGTATCATGATAAATGGGCTCTAAAGTATTTTGATCAGGCTGCTCTATGCTCTCTGATTTGAAGGTATGGGCAAGTGATGCCTCCTGAGTCAGGGGGGGCACTTGCCCCCCCGAGGACAGTCAGCGACTGGGGGGGTCCCCCGTGGCCAATCCCGCAGGCCGGGGTGGGGTCCCTTGTGGCTGATCCCGCTGACCCACAACTGGAAGTGGTGCACTGCTGGCAATTCTGGGTCAGATCGGCCGTGGGGAGACTGCTTCTCCTGGGACACTCCTCCCCAGCCAACGCTGTCAAGGGGGCACCAGTGCTTCACCTGCGCCCCCCTGCCCAGGAACGCTGCTGTCAGGGGGTGCACCAGCGCTGTCAGAGGCTGTATGTGCACCCCCTATGCATTGCCACTGTTTGAAGGAAAAGAATAAAATCTACTTATAGCTTTCTGCACACCTTATCTTTGAGAAAGGATGCCACATTAATAGGTATGGCTTGGTTTAAATTGCAATTTCACATTTTTTTTGTGAAAATCATGAAATTAAGTGATTTTCATGAAAAATGTGATTTGCAATGAAATGCCATGATATGGCTGCTTGCAGCGGAATTCCCCAGCATTGTCCAGCCAGCAGCAAAAGTCTGGCAGCCCAAGGGAGGGGGGAAGGGGTTGCACAAGGGATGGGGAGGAGAGAGCTTGGGGAAGGGTAAGAGAGGGGCTGTTTGCTCGTCCAGGTAGAAAAACTGGGGCTCCTGGGTACTGCATGGAGGGTTGGGGGCACCTGAGGGCTGCCTCCCTTCCCCATCCTCTGGGCCTTGGCACTGGGTAGGGGAGGGGCTGTTTGCTCCTCCAGGTAGGAAAACTGGGGTGCCAGCGGTTGGGGTCATGGGGAGAGAACACACGCGTGCGCGCACACACACAAACATTTCAGCACCAGGTCTTTCTGCCTAAGGCAGCCAGCAGTTTCCAAGCCCAGGATAAAGCCTCTTGCCTGCCTGCTTCCCTGCTGCAATCATGCTGCTCTCTGCCTTCAATAAGAAGAAATCAAGGCAAACCAAAAACATCTTAGTCCAGTGAGTTGTGGGGGGAGGAGGTGTGGGGGCCATGGGCTTTTCAGCAGTGAGCTGAGGCCTTGGGAGCAAGGCCTTTGATGCTGCAATTAGATCTGACCCTAAATCTGCCCCTCAGACAATTAGGGGGCATGGGGAGGGGATGGGTTGCCATGATCTGGGTGTGACAGTGGTGGCCACTGCCATGACTGGGCCAGGATATTAGTGAGCTGGGCCTGCAATTTAAACCAGGGCCTATTTATAGGCCTCTGCAGCAGCCTGAAATTAAACTATGCATGCCAAATTGTGTATAAAACCAAAGCTCTTAGGAAACAAAAGTTCCATAAAAGAGGATTCTATTTCTTTCTTGCAAAAATTAATTACAGCTTAATATAATGTACTCTGATGAACAAAGCATAACATTCCTTCAGATGTTAAATCCAACCCAAAGAACAGATGAGGAGCACTTAATTCTCAGAGGAATGCATTACGAGCCCCATTACTTTCCTTCCTCTCATGGTGTGAAATCAATCTTTCCCCAGCTGCCTCCTGGAATGTTTCAGAAAAGGAACAAACAAACTCTGGCCCTATTAGGGTTAATGCTTTTGCATAGACATATATGACCATAAACTGGTCAAGTAGTACATGGTCTTTTGTTAACATTGTGACTGGGAACAAGATGAATACAGCCACAATAATATACAGCTGTCAACTAAAAGTACTGCATAAAGGCATCTTTGGCCATGTAGGCTCTTGGCTCTTTGAAAGCAGGTCAGCTGCATTGCCAGCATGACAAAGAAAATAGCAATGTTCAGAATTAGGAAAAGGCGGGTGTAGGAAGCCGATACTAATGATGCACTGCTTCGGGCAGTGGTCACCATATGTGCTAGTCCTGATTGACCTTTGAGTGATGCCCCAGTTTTGTGCTTTACATAGGTAACATCTGCAAAATCCAAAAGGTCTTTCATTTCCTCATCTTCATCCACGGGCAGCTCATTTTGTGCCTGAGTCTGTGCTTTTTGTCGCACTTTTCTTTCATTTACCTCAATCTGTGCAAAAATGTCAGGAACAGCATCAACAAACTTGTAGCCTTTGGCTATCTTTTTGCTTTTCTTTGCCCTGCCTTGCTGCTGGTGCTGCTGCCGCTGGGAGATAGCAAATATTCTGTCAATAGCCTCCTCTGTCTGTCTCTTATCTGAAAACCTCAGCAGGCGCTCAGCAGTTTTTCTAAAGCTATCTGTGTTGCGCACACGGGATAGGATCTGCTTCTCAAGCTGCTGGAAAACAGGCTTGAAATTCTGAAGATTCTGTTCCACAATGCCCACATAATCTTCCACTTCTGGCACTGCAGAGCTCTTAATGGCAGAAACATGGTCAAACATAATTTTCTGTCGGTCTGCGATAACTTGTGCAAAGACAGAATGGGCTCCAGTCTCAACCGTCCACAGATAAATTGCATAGGAATGCTCACTAGTTGTTACGAAGACATCCAGTTGCTCAGAATCTCCACGGACATCAAAACTCTGGACATCTATGGAAGGTCCTATGAAGAGGTAAACTCCTCTGGTGATTGGGTGTCGCAAGTGGGTTGTTACATTCACAAAGTTTGTTCCATTGTATGGGTATCCACGAGGATACATTTTTGAGGCAATGGTAGCTTTCTCACTATAGCCAGCATCATCCATCCAGAACATCCTATACATCCCATCACGGTGCCTAATAAAGGCCCCATGGACATTATCAATAACAGTTTCTTCAAAAGGCATATCCACATTGTGGAAGAAGCTGGTTGTTGCCTCTAGGGGGCTGTCATCTTCAAGATGAATTTGGTCCACCAGCAAAAGAAGCTGAGGATGTAGAAGTACAAGGTTTCTTTGGAAGTTTTTTAACTTCAGTTTTGGGTTGTAAGCACCCACTCCTTCTCCCCTGATAAAAACCACACCACTTCTCTCCATTGCTGCAACCACTCTCCCCTGGCAGTCCCCAGCCAAGTCATGCTTATATTTCAACCACTTTGATGAGCAGTCCTCTGTAATCTGCCCTTCCCATGGGAAAAAGCAGCTTTTTGACATAGCTGGAGAAAACATCAACACATTGTTAAAGAAGGTATACTTTGGCCCATACAAGGCTTCTGTAATAAAAGGGACACCATTGGGAGCAAAGGTAAAGGAGTTCTGATCAGGATGTTCATGCCCAGCATTAAAGTTCCTCCATCCCTTGATCCACTCTTTGTACTTATTTTTATGAACAATATCATATATTGCACGTCCTCCCAGCTTTCCTGATTTGAAGGAGAGGAAGGGCCTGTTGATTTCAGCTGGCAATGCACTTCCATATGTTACAACTCCCCAGTCCTCAAAATAATGTAGTTTTGGAATTCCATAGTCTGGTGGAGGTACAGAGTGCAAACTTGCATCATACCTGTTAAGAGTCAAAGTACATGGGTTTACATATGGTCGTAAATATAAAAATAGTTATTTGCTTTATCTCTATTTTTCAGCCCTATTCCAAAATGCAGGGTTTTGTGCAATATTTAAACTAAATAAATGTTTTACAATATAAAGCCTATAATATGCTTGCTAAATGAGCACATTACACAATGACACTCATTGCAATAATCTCCATACAGATCCCACCATATATCAAATAAAGCTATCCATAATTTCATCATGGGAATAGATTTTGCTCATGTCACACAGATATATGTTTACTATTGAAATTTTAAAAACTTTGCTATAGGACTTCATCCTGAACTGCAAAGAAGAGTTTTCTCTTGGACATCAACATATTCTGAGGATCTTTTCTTCAAATGAATGTGCAATTGTTGCCTATTCAGTTAAAATAAGATGAACGGAACTTGGATCCTGCAAAAGATGTAGCTTGAAAACAGCCCGGATATTGGAGGGAATAGGAAGTCTGAACCTTGCAAAAGAGATTAGGAATAAATTTAAAAGAATTGATAATCCCACTATTTTTTTAAAAGGATGACAGGGATTTGCTGTTGATCCAAAAAAAATATCGTCTGCAAAAATTTTTGCCTCTTTCATATTTCCTGGATCATCAACATGACCACTTAAAAATTTATCATAGTTTTGTTTTCTTCTGAAAAACTTCTGATGTCAATATGTATGCAAACTGATTTAATGAATATATTTAGCTTTAAAAGGACTCTTCATGCCTAAAAAAAATAATATATTACATTATTGCTTGTTCACATTTTGTTTCTGTAAATTTAAAATATTTGCACTGCTCTTTAAAAAAGGTACCTATGAAGTGTCTCTGACATTATTTAAGGGAACACAATAAATAAACACAATGTAAAGCCCCAACAAGACTTCTATCTCCACAGCAGTAAATGAAATGATTTTTCTCCATCAAAATTCCTCTCTCTACTTTGCAAAAAATTCTTTCAGACCCTACATCAGTGTTTCATAATTTTGTGAGACTTAAAGCATCTCTCCACACTTTTCTGAATTTAGTGGTACTCTATTTAAAAAAAAAAGCTATCACTTGGATTTTTTTGTGTTTTGTTTAATAGAACAATTTTGTTACAAAGAACTCAGACAGAAAACAAGGGGGTCCAAATGTTATTGATACTGTTTGATATCTCTGAATTTATCTTGTGAATCATATGTACGTGTTTGCATTTCCAACACTGCTAGTATTGCACAGCACCCTATGGCACTCTTAAAAGGATCTCATGGAAGTCCACCTGAGAATTGCTACTTTACATAAACACAAGCTTTGCAACATGTTCTGAGGCTAAAAACTCCAGATGACCAAATGCATAACACTGTTCCATAGCCAATGGCCCTATATAACCAGTTTACTTTCTTTACTAAAGACTCCAAAGCAAGTGCCTCTTCTGACCAAAACAGCATCATACAGAATAAGAAGAAGGTGGTTCCACAAAGGGGAGTCTTAGTATGTTTAGGGCTTATTTCCATGCCTTGAATCCACTACAAACATCTCACTTCTTGATGTCAGTAAGACTGTCTTTCTCATAAGATGAGAAAGGGAGGGTATGGGAAAAGTAGAGAAAATACATTCTATTAAACAGGTAACCAGCACCATACCAACGGATATTTGGGCAACTATTCATTAATTTTTAACTCATATATCATAATTATAAAATCATATCCACTAAACGTACATGTTGCTCATAGTGAAAATATTATGCTAAATTAACCCTTCTATGTATATGTCAACTGATTAGTGGGAATTAGCAATGAGTGTTTAAAAGCCTCATGTATTTTCATTCCTTGCCTGTGGCAGGGTGGTCTAGTCTCACAAATTAGAACAGATTGTACATTATATAAAAAAACTGCCTTAAGTCCTTTATCAGCTTTTCCCCTCTTATTTGAAACCTCTCCTTAGATAGTAATGTACATACCACTTTTTAAAGAATGCATACTTCTTTGAGCATCTAATTTTACTACATGTAAAAGAAAAAAAATCAGACTTCAAATGTTCTTCTAATTAACCACCAAAGCACAAAACTAACCATAGTACTAATGAAATGATTTTTTTAGGACACATGTAGGAAATTAGATATAAGACTTTCATTCCCTTTGAAACTGGTTGTCCAGAACAGACAACATCTGGAAAACAAGTGAAAATGGGCTATATAAGACCTGTGCATTGTATATATTTATATATATGAACATATATTTATGATATGCAGAATTTCTCCTCAGTCCCAACCTCTGTTCTGTCTGGAGACAGTTTGGGCTGCACAGGGCTAGTATAATCTCCATTTCTGCAGTCCATTACAAATCTGAAGGTAACATGTAATCACTAATGCCAAGCAGCTGTCATGTTTCTTTTAAGCTCATTCATTCTGTTTCATACCAAAGAAATTCAGTGTGAAGAGTGCACCACCGCTGTCCTTTGGATGGAGTCCCTGGGCCTTCCACCACCCGATTCTTTCTAATCTGATCAGCCAACCAATTCCCGCTGCCGTTGCGCATGATGAATTTGTCAAGAAATACCAACTGGCTTTCTGGCCCATAGAACCAGTTATAGTTGGAGTCTGCAATGGCTACAGTTCTCTGAAATCCTTGGAAAAAATTTGAAAAGAATATAAGAAAAAGCAAATAAATGTACAAAGACATGTTTTGTAGAGTGAGGATGACGAAGCCAAATACAACAGGCTTGCCCTTTTGAAGTATTTATAGACACACACACTTAAATGTCCCATAATCAGGATAAATGTGGCCTTTTCTCACTGCTGTAACAAACTTTAATACTCACCTTTTCTTCTCAAACTATACACCCCTGATAAATGCATCAAGAGAAAAAGTTCCATCCTCCTTCCTTCTCTTACTTAAATCTTGCAACAACAGAATTCAGTTTGCAGCTTTAAATTTTTCTTAAATCAATCTAAAACATTTAAAGCAACAGTAAATCACAGAGGCTCCTCACAAAACCAGTTCTGCCTTGGTGTAATGAGGATAGCAAGTGTTCTTTGTTGTTTAAGTATTTTTCTAAAGCAGATAAGTGAGATACCACGTGGACTCAGTGTAACTCATTATTCTAATATGTGTTGGCACTGGAGTGTCAAAAGTTATTTTTGCCTTCTAGATAGTTTTAGCTGCTATAGACTGGCATAACTCCACTGATTTAATAGAATTATTCCCATTTATACCTGCTGAGATCTGGCTCATGATATCCATCTAAGCAACATTTTTTAAATGTTTCATGTAGCATTGGAAAACGTTAGTCTCATTTGGATTCTAGGGAGGTGTAAACAGATTTGGGCACAGTAATAACCAAGAAATCTTCATCCAAAACTTGCAAGCTTGAGACAAAATCTTTTCTGATGCTTGACAAAATTTGGCTATCATTTTTCACAATTATTTTTCATGTTTGCAGCTTCTAATTCCAACTAGGACTTCAGAGAAGTGAACTGTAGTGAGAGGTACTGAAATGCAGTGAGAAAAAACTGTTAAGGCATGTCCAGCCTGATCAGAGAAGGAAGTCCTAGAAAGTTTTCAACAGTGCTTCTTCCAGCCTAATTTTGCTCACTCAAGAAAATACACATAATTTTGAAAAAAATCAAACATGAATAAAAACATTTGCCTACTTCATCAGGAACCAGTCTCTCAGTTAGGATTTACATTCCCTTTTAAGTTTAATTCTCTGAATTTACCACCAGCTGCTTGGCAAAACATGATTTCAGGAATGTTTCAACTTATTATCTTTCAGTTGCTCCACATTTCTGTTGTTTTTGTGTCATGACTCTTCTTTCACAACTTCTAAAAATGCGATCCTTCCTTTCTAGCCATGTGGGTAAAAAGATAATCCCCTCCTGTCATCATTACTGTAATGGCCTCCCCTGTTAGTAGGTTCCTATCTTCTTCCCACTCTGTCCAACTAAAACACCTGCTAACACAAAACAGTCATTTTCTTTTTGAATCTCTCTGTTAGCTTCTATTAGTTTTCCACATTAAATTCAGGCTTCCCACTCCTCAGTGCAATACTCTGTTTCTTATGGCTTTGCACTCAGCCTCTTGAACGCTGAGATCAAGTATAATCTTTTTTTGCTCTCCTTAAAGCACCCACCTTGCTTTTTTTCGAGTCTGTATGTCATGCTTGGAATGTCTTGCTACTAGACACTGTTCCAAACAGGATCATTCAAATCTCTTTAAACTCTTTCTATGAAGCCTCCCAATATTATTCTATCTATGAAATCATACAATCATTGGAAAGTAGACCTGAAAGAGACTTCAAGAGGTCATCTGTGGTTACTGCACATTTAGTTTAGTACTGCATTAAGGATGTACTAAACTAAATGTGCATTAACTACTGCACATTAATGAATGGGTATGAACAGAGAGTAGTCTATCCTCTTCATAATCATCCTTCTAGTACTTCAGATTCTTCTTCAGAATTCTCTTTCAGCCTTTTTTCATAAGTTGCTTCCCAGGAACCTAATCTTTTTTTTTTACTCTCTGCCAGACTAATTCTTATACATCCACATTTCTTGAAGTGTGGGGCCCAAAATTGGGACACAGAACTCTGGGTGAGGCCTCTCCAGAGCAGAACAGAGTAGAAAGATCACTTCCCTTGATTTGCAAGTGACACTCCTGTTAATAAAATCCATTATGTTGTTGGCTTTTTTCTGGCAACAAGAAACTGAATATGCAACAACATTCAATGGTCATAGTATTTATACTGGATAATCTGCTCTTGGAACAGAAAAAGGAATTTGATACAGCACAGGAGTCAAATGACATGTGATTTTTTTTTCCAGATCCACAGAAGAAAGTTATTGTTTCATTCACTAGTTGCTATAATTTTCCATTTCAGTGTTTTTCCACAGATAAATGTGTTTTGCATGTCTAAGGAACATATTTTGCCCTCTTCAGAAAGTAGGGCCACTAGGGGTAGTTTTCCTTCTACTTAGAACCTCAGGTAGCAGTTTATATTATGGCAACCCATCCTGAAACACAGAACATCCTAAAACCCATCCCAAAATACAAAAATGCATATTTTTCTGTCCAATATTTGACACTCATTTGGACTAAGTGTGGCCCTTTGGGCATTGCTGTACCTGTTATGGTACAAATAAGCAACACAGTTTAATTAAAAATGCTTTGCTTGCTGAACTCTCTTTGCAAAAAAAAAAAATTGTTGACTGTTCTTGATATTTCCCAGTTTTTGTGAAGATATTATCAATTTTTATGCAAATGTTATCACTTTTTTCATTTCTAAAACCTTTCTTTCCAATATGATGAGTTTCAGTAAGTAAAAAGAATGTTAAATATTCTGATAATAATTATGAAATTTAAGAATATATAAGAAAGAATATATAAGAACACTTTCACAAGAACAGAAAGTTGAAGCCTTTCAAATCCTGAAATGTAAAAACAATTCTATAATGTCGTTGTTTTTGCTCAGATCTTTGCCCAATCTTTTGACAAACTCTAAAGGTCAACTACAATAGTGTAATTTTAAAGTACAATGTAGCAAAGTAAAAAAAAAAGCAAAATCCTTCATTGTTTGAATCACACACACATCTACTTAAAGTAACATTTTATAATAATGAAATTGTCATTGCTTTGGAAATTAGGAGATGTCTCTTCATCAATCCAAACTACTTACCTGGCAGGACAGTTCTATACATAAATGCAAAGTGCTGTTTTAGCCAGGGATGGTTAAAGTGGTTGATGCCAAAGTGCCTTTGGACAAGAAATATGTATTGAAAGAGAGATCTGGTGGTATAGCTGCCATAAGCCACTCCTTCGTAGAGAGATCCATCTGTAACTTCTTGCAGCAGGACTATAGACTTCTCCATGATTGCAAGCACCTGCTTAGTCCATAAGTATGCTTCCTGCAAATAGCCTGGAAAATAAAGATGCACATAGTGCTGTCAAAACTTTATAGCATGCTATAAGCCTGAAATATGTTTCTTTAAACTATGGGCACTCCAAGTGTGGTGTCCTTACACATAATATGTGGCCTATATCTGCTGTGTCCTTGCAATTATAGGGTGAGAATAAAACTGAGCACACATGAAGTGTTACCACACATGAACATAATCACTCAAATTTAATCTTGGGAAGACAATCGAACAAGTACTCATTGTACTTGAAGAGAATATTCCCTATTCTGCTCAACAGCATTCTGAATATTCACGGTGAAAAGCATCTCTTTCCATAACAGAACAATTTTATTGCCTTTAAAATTAAAGCACTGTAAAAACAAATTTACTGTCTCCACTAGAGGGCTTCAGTAATGTAAAAATACATTGATGGATGCCTTATATGAATAACAAAGAAAAGCTTTAAGGTTAAACTTTTTAAAGTAAGAGTAAATGTTATTATGTAGCCAACAATTCTCCACACTACAAAAGCTTTCAGAATACTGGATGGTATAGAGGCTTGCCAACAAGGAGAGTTATTCTGAAATAGCCATCCTAATAATTGCCCAGGTGGCGCATGTTTATTCCAACATAAAGAGTTCCTTATTCCAAATCAATCCAACTGGATTAAATTCATGCATACTGGGTGCATCTACATGTGCCATTAAGGCGATGTGATAAACTCTGGCACAGTTTGCATCTAAGTGAGCTGCTCCCAGCCACAGTGTTTGCACATGCCCCAGGAAACGGAGCAGTTTGAGCCAGGGTGGAGCAGTTGCAGGCTGACAGGGGACCTGGGGATCAATTCTGGGTTCTGGGTGCCAGCATCAGGGAGTGGAGAGACTGGCTTGAACACAAGGGTGCTATACTGCAGGGCTAGGTGGCAGGCAGCCCCTGCAATTTAGCAACCTCAGACCCCAGTCAGCCCATCACTGTCTACATGGGCATTTCAGTGCATGTAATTACTCCGTCATAGGATAACTATCCTATGGCAGAGTTAATTAATTTACTGCACCCTAATACCAACATGCGTATAGACAATGATGCTTTACTGCAGAGCTAATTAGTCAACTCCAAAGTAAAGTGCATGTGTAGATGCACCCAGTGTAGACACACTATCTTAAAGTGCACATATAGGTACACTACCTTACAGTGCAGTAAGTAACTGCACTGAAATGCATGTGTAGACAGTAACATGGGCTGGGTGGGATACAAGGATGCTAAAGTGTGGGAGGTGCCTACCAGGTAGCCACATGGCTAGCTAGCTACACGGCTCCTCAGGTTCTGCACCCTTGTGCCCCAGCCAGCCCCTCTGCCATCTGATGCCATCACCAGAGCCTGGGACTGACCCCCCCTGCTAGCTTGGGGCTGCTCCATCCCAGGTCAAATTGCTGCTGTCCCAGGCACAGATGTAGACACCACTCCTGGGAGCAGCTGAATCTGGCTTGAATTGGTCTATAATTTATTGCGTTGCATTAATGTCACGTGTAGATGCACCCATTATATCTTGATCTAAATTAACTAACTCTTCAAATAATCTCCAATATGTACAGTTTTCTTATAAAGGAAAGATGATCAGCCATCTTATCACTTCAGCCAAAATGTATATCCAGGCACAAATATGGGAAGATTAAGAGTGGCAGTAATAGATTTTCTTGTGGAAGCAGGCTCTAGACATTCATTCAACAGAGCATCCTCCAGCTCAGCTCAGCTGATGAAATCAGCTAGCACACTGATACCCAGAAGAGGTATACTGGCAACTTCTGCTGAATGAACTTCCCTGTGGCAGTCTAAGACATAAAATGCTCCCAGTTTTATTATGAATTATGACTTAATGGCCACAATAAAAATATTTGGTGGTTAGCGTGTCTTGAGCATTTTCAACTTTTATCCTTACTTTTCACTGTGCATATTACACCAAAGTGAACTATCCTTTGTGACATAATTCAGTACAGTGTATTTATTGCCTTGAAGTATACGGTAGTAGATGTTTTTTTCATTTAGTTTACCAACCATGCCACATCATCAATCTTTAATCTGTTACACATCAATGTATGATGAAGTACAGGTAGGAGTCCTCATACCATCTCTAGCTAAATGGAGAAAGGAATTAATTATGAGTTTTCCATTATGCCACATTACATAGCAGTTTAGAACCTATCCAAATATTTCTGAAAAAGGTTGTTATTATTGTATCCAAAGATTGCAATTCAGCCGGAATCAGGGTCAATTCTCAACTCTGCCATTAAGATCATAAATCACTTAAGGCAGTGATTTTTAAACTGTGGTCCGTAGAACTCGGGGGGTCTGCAGACTATGTCTAGGGGGTCTGCAGAAGATGAGTATGATCAACTAAAGTATGAGAGTACCCACACTTAAAATTCAAAGGGTATGCACTTCCATTTGAAATTTCCAAAGGGGTATGCATTTCCAAAGGTGTATACATTTCCATTTGGAATTTTTTAGGGGTCCGCAAATGAAAAAAGGTTGAAAGATACATTAACTCCCTGAATGCCAGATTTCATTCCACCTACTAGGCCCTTACAGTGACTTAGGAACCTAAGTGTAATTCTATTGCATCCTGGTTAAGTCCCTGAAAAGTATTTAATGTAAAAGGTGGGTTTGTCCTTCTTCTCTTTGCTGCTTTTTTACTGACTCAGTCTTAAGGATAAGATGACAGTGGGCTACAAAAGCACATGAATTAATGGATTCTCAGGACTTGAATGGAATGGCACTTAGGCACCTAAATCTACTTAAGGTGAAATTCTACTTCCCTTTGTGTGTGTAAATGGTAGCTTACTAGCCATGTAGGTGGCATTTTTTGGCACTTGCATATGGATAAGAATTCCATTTCCCCTGCAGCATGAACATGTAAGTGTGCAAGTGTAGATTCAGTACATGCAGTAGACTATGCATTGGCTAGGCAAATCATTGAATCATAGAAAATTAAGGTTGGAAGGGACCTCAGGTGGCCATCTAGTCCAATCCCTGCTCCAAGCAGGGAGGACCATCTCCAACTAGATCATCCCAGCCCGTTTTACCTAGCTGGGTCTTAAAAACCTCCAGGGATGGAGATTCCACAACTTCTTTGGGCAACCTGTTCCAGTGTTTTACTACCCTCCTAACAGGGCTGGATTAACTCTTCAGTGGGGCCTAGGCAAACAAACTCACGGGCCCTTACTTTTTTTCACTTAATAATTATAATATGTAAAATAAGCACAACTGGGCCCCTTCTTCACTTAGGGCCCCAGACAATGGCATTTGTCTAGTTTGCCTATGCATTAATCCAGCCCTGCCTCCTAGTGAGAAAGTTTTTTCTTATATCTAACCTAAACTTCCCTTGCTGAAACTTGAGACCATTGTTTTTGTTCTGTCATCTGGCACCACCGAGAACGGTCTAGCTCCATCTGCTTTGGAACCCCCATTCAGGTAGTTGAAAGCTACTATTAAATCCCTCCTCAGTCTTCTCTTTTCCAGACTAAATAAGCCCAGTTCCCTCAGCCTCTCTTCATTAGTCATGTGCCCCAGCCCCTGAACCATTTTCACTGCCCTCTGCTGGACTCTTTCTAATTTGTCCACATCCTTTCTGTAGTGGGATACCCAAAACTGGACACAGTACTCCAGATTTGGCTTCACCAGTGCCAGATAGAGGGGAACAATCCTTTCCCTTGATCTGCTGGCAAGGCTCCTACTAATGCCATTAGCCTTCTTTACAATAAGGGCACACTGTTGGCTCATATTCAGCTTATTGTTCACTGTAATAACCAACTCTTTTTTCTGCAGAGCTTCTGCTTAACCAGTTGGTCCCAAGCCTGTACCGGTATATGGGATTGTTCTGTCCTAAGTGCAGGACTTTGCACTTCTCCTTATTGAATCTCATGAGATTTCTTTTGGTCCAATCCTCCCATTTGTCAAAGTCTCTTTGAATCCTAGCCCTACCCTCCAGTATATCTACTACTCCCAGTTTGGTGTAATCTGCAAACTTGCTGAGGGTCTACTGTATCCCATCTTCCAGTTCATTAATGAAGATACTGAACAAAACTGGCCCCAGGACTGACTCCTGGGGCATTCCACATGGCTATGGATGTGCCCATTCTGGACACACACACACATCCAAAGGCGTGTTATATTCTGAAAGCAGAGGATGACCCTCCCAAGTTTTAGATCAGTGGTGCCCAAGCTTTTGGCCCCAAGGGCCAAATGAGTGGGGCTCTGTGGATCAAGGGCTGGATCCAGTCTGGGAGCCTAATCCAGCACTTGCTGGATCAGGTACCAGTCCTGCCCACCATATCTCAGCTATGGCCAAGGCCATGGCCCTGCACTGGACTGGTTGTCACTACCCTAGACCTAACCCCAGCCCTGGTCCCAGCCCCATGCATGCAGATTGGGACCCTGTGCCCTAGCCGTAACCCTGTGCATGCTGGATTGGGCCCACTGCCCCAATCTCAGTTCCCTGCACTTAGTGCCATGTGAGCTGGCCTTGTTTTAGGCTCAGTGATTAGGGTCTTCACCCCAGAAACAAAAGACCAAGATCCAAGGCCCCTTTGCTCAGGGAGGGATTTGAATCTGCATCTCTTTAACTTGCCAGCACAGTGTTTAATTATCACACCAGAGGTCAGGCATTTCCAGAGCAAGCATAATATAGCAAATTTACAATCTTTCATTGTGAAATCATCATCAAAATTATTTTGTTCAATAAACTCTATGCCTTATAATCAGTAACAAAAGTTTAAGTTTAAGTAGCTGGGCTTTTGCTGGTGCATGCACCTTGACACCTGGCTGCTTGGGTGTTGAGTGCTAACACATAAAATATAGATCAAATTCTTGGATCAAATCCTGAAACTTTATTCATAACTTCTAGCTGACTGAACTGGCACACTTTACAAAAATGATTCTATTGTTTAGCACATACCTTGATTCATCAGAACCAGGCTTCCTGCCAGCAGTGCCACACAGTTGGTAGGCTGATGGTTATGTAGGTATTGGAAACCCCATCCACGCCTATATGATGTTTCATACATATATCCTGAGGCATTGGCAATGACCTCAAGAAATCTCTCCTGTTGATTCTTGCTCAGGTAATTGTACAAGAAGTCATAAGCAGTGGCAAAACCAACTAAAGAATGAGCAAGAGGAACTTCATCCCATGGCGCATCCTTCACTAACCTGTTAAAGAAGAAAGAGGTCAGTTGAGCTTCACTGATGTTTTACCATGCTTTACGTCACATGTGACTCAATATTTCCAAGATTAGGTGCCTAGTACAAGGAATTTAATACATAAAATAAACTTTTGGTAACCATTTCAGTTCCTTCTAAAAATGGACATCAGTCACCCTTAAAAACACACCACTTGTCTCAAATAAAGGTATTTATCTGCCTTAATTATTTACCTTGCTATTTACAATATTTTAAGCTTTTAAAAAGTGCTTGAATAATTACATGAAAGTCCTGTATATTCTGTACTGCAGTACAGAATATATCTTCAGAAGAAGCATAAATAGGAAGCAGCAATGTGAGCTTCATATTTCACATATGCCATCAATTAGCCATGAATGGGAGTTAGAAGAATTTGATCAAATGATACGAAAGCAAATCAACAGCTTTAAAACGATTGAAAATGCTCCTATTTAGACATCCATAGACAATGTCTACTTTGCCAAGGGAAATTACGGTGCTAAATCTAACAAAGTTATAAATCGAAACTAGGAAAAATTCACAGAACATTTTTATTATTGTGTGCATTTTAGATGCATCAGTAAGCACGTGCATTTCAGATACTAGTTTTCCAGTGAAGAGAGTTTTAAGGAATACATGGAAGGTATTGATATTTGGTATGATAAATGATAACCCACTGCCTGCATAGTTTTCTTTTTCCTTTAACTCCGTTAATTCACTTTGCAGCATAGTTTTGATTTATAAAAAATAAAACAACAAGAATGAAATGAAGGTCTCACTGCAGTCACTGAAAAATTTACCATTCAATACAGCCACAAATTCACCTTAGATTTTTATAAATAGTAAACAGAGATACTAGAAGCTTGATGGAACATGATTAAAAAGAATCTACGCTGTTTAGTATGTATATATATTCAAAATGTGCCAATGAACAATTTAGAAATGTTGCGTTGCTGACTCTGCTGACTCAAAGGCACACAATGAGGTTTTATATCAAACTGCAAGCCATATCAAACTGCAATTACTAAGGGGGAAAAAGGACTTTTTTGATGTAACTTTTGTTTTTAAATGTCAATACATTTCACTGTGTCAATGACTGAAGAATTCAGTCAAAACAAAGCATGGCCTGACATTTACCTAAGGGCATACAGATTGTTTGGTTTGGTAACTTTAAACTGCTCAAGTGGTCATTGGGTCACCTCTCTCCCCTTCACTGAACATTCAGTATCTAATGCAACATACCCACTTCCTTTAGGCTTCAGTTCTATCTTCTGCTTAGTGATATTACAGTCCTACCCTAGGAGTTCATTTCCAAGTATATTATTTTTTAATAAATAAGGCTTTTCTCAAACAAATTCTGAAGTAAACAAATATTTGAAGACTTTCTTCTTTGGACTGGATTTTTTCTTTTTGCATTTTTTGCAACCATTTTTCATATATACTTTTGTTCTTACTATTGTTTGGGGACAGGGCTGTTGTCAAGGAACAAAACCAATAAAGATAGATCAATATACATTTGATGGAGCTGCTAATCTTTAGGGCATTGAAGAAAAGCTGATCAATTGTACTATCAGCCTTTTCTAGATCTGTGTATTCAAATTCTGTTCTCTATAGTGTCTCTCACTCAACACTTCTATGTCATTTTCTCCCAAATCAAACTCTAAACATACCAATGAGGACTTAATGCCAGATTCAAAAAAGATTCTTATGGGGGAAGTTCAGGCATTTAGTGTGGAAGCGCTGCAGCCCTTAAAGCCAAATGTTCCCTAGAAACTCATTATTTCCATTTGACAACAGCAAACATTTCCAGATAAATTAACTGAGAAGTTAACTAAATTTGCTGAACAAGTCTGTACACACCCAGGGTGTTTTTATACTGTCTCCTTAGAGGCACAAAACTTGGAAACTCTGGTTAATCCATTATTTGTAAAACATAACTCAGCTCTATAAATCATGCCATTTTTGCTATTTTACCCCCAATGTTCGTAAAATTTACCACTAGACTCTAATTAATTAATAGATCAATTTATTTATAGTTAAAGGTATGGTTAAACAGATATATTCTTCCCTGACTTACCATTGGGCACAACTACGCAGAATGCAAGTGTTGTCATCCAAGTTGTGAACCCTCAACCAACAAATGTACCCTTGGATAAACATTTTGTGAGTCTTCCTTTTTAAAACATGTTTCTTGTGGTTCTCACTAAACCTCTACACATTCAATACTCAGGTAGAATTAAAATGGCAGATGGATGCCACTTTAATAAGTGTCTCATTCTAAAATATGGCAGGGGACAAACTGTATGCCTCAGTAAAGTACAATGAGATAATTTTAGACTTATACAAACTGTATACCACAGTAAAGTACAATGAGATAATTTTAGACTTAAATCAAAGATCAATTTCACTATGTGGCAGGATTATCACAAACACATTACAACTGGGCTAACAGAGTCCTTTTAAACAATATGGGGATCTTTCATAAAAAAGTAATAGTAAATTTTAGCTTTCATTGTATGTAAGTTCTACTTTGGTAATTTTATTTTTTTGATTCAATGTAAAATGTAATTCAAATATTAAAATCTGCATGGAGGTGGATTACTAGAAGACATTTTAAAATAAATAAGGGATTTAACCTATACAGGAAAGGTTAGATTTGCTCAATTATCAGTGCATTTAACTGACTGACTTTTGACACAAATTAGGCAACACTACCACATGTAGGTACCTATGTGACACAAAATTTAGAACCAGAATAGTACTTTTCCTTGCTTAAACTAAATCATTCTGCATACAAAGGAGTAACCTGCCCAACAAAATAATGGATCAATGGCTTGTCTCCAACATAATGTATCAAATCAAAGATAAGGATTTAAAGAAGTTCAAATGTGAACACTCACAGATTTACTTAATATTCCATTTGAGCCAATGTTTATGCTTAGAATTGAATTTATATTTAAAGCAGGATGTTTAGATGGTGTATATCAGGATACCACCAATAACTGAATTAATAATAGCTAATTTACACCCACTAGGAACCTAACACACTATGTCTATATTTGCAATACAATGGAAAAACAGCATAGGGGATTTCAAACCTGTCTAGATGCCCATGAAACCTCAAAAATGTGTGAATCATATAAAGCAAAATTGAAATGTCAAACATCTGTCAGCCAGGTGTTCAATTTTGTAAATTGCAGCTGCAGCCTTCCAACTCCAATGAAACATCCAACAGCCAAAGAAATGCTTCAAGAGAGAAATGTATTCCCAACAATGTAGGAGGTATGCACAACCAGAGCAGGTGAGAAACATTCATCACGATTTGTCTGGAGAGCAGGACTCATGATTAGCTCACTAAGAAGTGCTTTTGTGTCTAACTTTTTGTGGGGAGGGGCGGGTTATATAGACAGATTTTTAAGAAGTCAGCACCACTCTGAAAGTAGTCAAGCCTAAAAACAGGAGAAAAGAGGTACCCTATCAAGGGTGATGATGCCCATTTCACATAATTCTAGAGGGCATAAGTAGCTTATACTTTAAACCCTAGCAAAATGCTGCTTGGGTGCATCTACACATGCAATAAGTACAGGGGCAAGCAATTATTTTGGCTGGAGGGCCACTTAATGAGTTTTGGTGAACTGCTGAGGTCCGCATGGGTCACCCTGCCCCTTGACAGTATCCCCGCCCCCTAGTCACCATACTGGGACCAGAAGTCCCACCCCCTAGCCCCTAACCTTTTCCACTGAAAGTCCATCCCCTTGCTGCCCCCCAGCCCCATACTCCTTTTGGGGGGAAGAGGGTTGCCATCTTAGAACCAAAAAAAAGGACAAATCATACACTAAAAGTCAAACACCTACTATAACATATTTTAATTTTATTACAAAAAATATTTTTGTCATGAGTTGTGTTTGTATAGTCTATATACAGGTGATTGCATAATAACTCAAAAATAGTCTTACTCTTGTATATTGTGTGTGTGTGTATGGCAGGGTGTGTGTGTATGGCAGGGTGTGTGTGTGTGTGTGTGTATGGTGGGGCATGTGTGTGTATGGTGGGGTGTGGGGCCATGTGTGTGTGGGAGGTTTGAGGGGGTGTGGCTGTGTGTGGGGGGGCATAAAGTATGTTGGGTTATGTATATGTTGGTGAGGGTTGTGGGGGAGGGTATGGGTGTGTGAGGTTTGTGGGGTGTGAGGGAGGATGTGGGAACCTCCCCGCACTCCCCCCACATGGCATGCAGCCCCTGCTGCTGGCAGCAGCAGCAGGTGGGGGGGATGGGTTTCAGGGTGCTCGTGCCCAGTGCAGGAGCTGGCGCCTGGTGGGGTGTGGCTCTGACCAGTGCTGTGCATGGGGCGGAGGAGTTCAGTCCGCCCGGCCACCTCTATTGTGGGGGCTCCACCTGGCCTGCCTGCAGCTCCCAATTTCAGACTGAGGGAAGCCCCGTGTTGGACTCCACAGGGAAGCAGAGGGTGGGGCTCCCTCCACTCCTAGTGGAATCCGGGGACCTGTGTGGCAGAGGGCAGGGAAGGCAGCTGGCTCCAGTGCAGGGCTTCCCCTGATGCGAGTGCAGGAGCTGCAGGTGCATGGCACAGAGCCCATACAATAGAGATGGGACAGGCAGGCTGCACTCCTCCCCGCTTGTACAGTGCAGGGCAGAGCCGTGCCCTGCCAGGCACCAGTGCCGGGCACTAGCACCCTGAGCACACCCCCCACCCCCCCCACCGTTCAGGTGCTGCATGCCAGGAAGGAGTGTGAGGGGGTCCCCACACCCTCTCAGCTTATCTCACATCTACACCCTACCCAGCCAAGCTCTGCGCTCCTGCCACCCCCCTGGGCACAGGCTCTGTGCTGCTCTCCATGCTTCTGCCCAGCTGAAGCTTTGCCCCCACCCCCACTGCTTCGAGGGCATGAGGGTGCTACAAGCATGGGGCTAGCTGGCAGGCAGTCTCCATACTGAATCATCCTCATGCCCCAGCCAGCCTTGCCAGTGTCTAGAT